TTATTTTGGCAAGGGGAATGTCAGTCTCTTTAATTGCAACTTTTTAAAGAACAGCTGTGCCCTACCAGCCAGTGGTGTCTAATGAAGCTCAGGACTTCTGAAGCTTGTTTCATCTTCCTCTTTTCTGGGTGCCTTCATCCCATGAAGGCTCGTGTGTCTGCTGCCAGACTTCTTTCCCGTGAAGCTGTGGATCTATCTTTAGCTTTAGCCATTTCAAGGCAAACCTGTGCAAGGATGCTTTTTGCAAATGCCAGATGTGACACTGGTGCCAAGCTGGAGGCTTCCCTGATGAACTATGTAATTTGACCAAGACTGTAGGTCGCCAGGTTAGTCCTCAGAAAAAGTCCAAACACAAAAGCAGAAGACAACGTTCAAGCTTTCAGGTTTCTCAGAGCTCTTCACCATGCTGGATGGTCAACATGAAAGTCAAAAAGAGAGAGGGGCTGATTCATGTTTCAGGGCATGATGGAAAAAACCCCAGCCTGCATTTTATAGAGTCTTAAAGCAGAATACAGGATGCGTTGCAATCATGATTGGATTGCATAGTGTTGTGTATGAAATGGGTTTAAGAACATCTCAAGTGCTATGGGGGAAGAGAAGGAAACCAAAGGGCCAACACTGGATTTGAGAAGAAAAGCTAATAGTTAATCAGCTATTTGAGATATAGAATATGTGATTTAAGTATATGGCATTTAATAATGTATTGTAGGTGTAGTGGTTAGAGTGCTGGACTTGAATGTGGGAGACCCAGGTTTGAACCCCACTATGGCATGCAGTTTTTCTGGGTGACCTTGTGCCAATCATTGTGCGGATAAAATAGAGGAGAGGAGAACTATTTTAAGCCTCTTCGGGTTCCCTACTGGGGAGAAAGGCAGGGTATTTTTTTAAAAAGTAAATAAATATAAAGTGGTACTTACATTGGCAACATGGAGATATATGGTAGGGAAGGATTGTTGCAAACAGAGCTGTCTCAGTTTTCTAATGGAGGCTGTGCCCTTTGTGTCTTTAGCATTGGGGTGGCCAGATTGACAAAGGCCACTGGGACTTGTGTTGATTGTGATTCAAACTGACTACCCCAAACCCTCTTCCAAATGATTGACCTTGCAGTTTGCATTTCTTTGCTGTTCCTTTTGCATCTGGTCCAGAGTCCAGGGAGTGCCGCAGCCTCTCATCTTTTCAGCTTGCTTGTCTTTCTCATTCACAGAAACCACGCACAGATCAGTCTGGCGCCTTCCCTTTCAGGGGCTTGCGCCATATCCTTAGCCTGGTCACCGCAAATTGTTTTGTGGGCATCATCGTAGCTCAGCTGCTCATATACCTTTGTGGCAGTCAGTCGCCGGAGCCCCAGACTGGTTACCTCTCTGATAACCTTTTCAAGGTTGGCATTTTTGCTTTGCGGCTGATTAGACCAGGATTAGGTGTCTATCTGTCTGAGTACCCTTTTCTCTGCTTCAATTTCTTCCGGCTTCAATTACTTTAGAACCTTGGCATCTGCCTCTTTGTCCTCTGCGTGCAGAGAGGTATGGTTGAGTGACTTTGTTATCTTCAGCACACACATGGTATCTCGTGGAGTTGTGTTTTGTATTTAAGACAGACAAACATTCCCCATCCTGCGGTCTCACTGGAGTGTGTGTGTTCAGCAGTTCCGTTGTCGTGGTGGCTCTCCTACTCCGTTATGACTAAGGCATTAAACTGGTTGAAATCACTTCTTGGATTGTCTGTTGTCCATTGTTTTGGAGATGTGCTGTTGAGACGTCTTAAGTATCCTGCTGATCCAATAAAATATATCTGATGATAAGACAACATATGTATACAGTGTAACACAAATCTCAGCAATGATAAAACATTATTTAAAGAAACAAAACAAGAGCTGGGTGGTAATAAGTCTGATGGTCCCCCACTCCCTGATTCAGGATCGGCTTTAAGCTGGCATTCTACCTCAGAACCCACTAGATATAACTTTCATTTCTTATTATGGGCAGGACTATGGCTTATTGGTAAAGCATATATTTTTCTATAAAAATTCAGGTTCAGTCCCTGGGATTTCCAGGAAGAGAGACTGGCAGAGACTTTGGAGAACCACACCCAGTTAATAATACTAGTCTGTGCAGGCCAACAAGCCCAATCTCATCAGATTTCAGAAGCTAAGCAGGGTCGGCCCTGGCTAGTATTTGGATGGGAGACCTCCAGGGAATACTAGGGTTGTAAGTGATGCAGAGGAAGGTGATGGCAAGCCACCTCTGAACTTCCCTTGCCTTCAAGCCCCACTGGATGTCAGCTTGACTTGATGGCAAAAGGGGAAATAAAGATCTGATCCCATACTTAGGTTTCATATGTTTAATGTCAGGATCCCCAGTTAATTAGAATGCTTGTTCCTACAGACCAATCATAGAGAAGGACCTTGCATCCAATCAGGAGCCTTGGTCTTTGTCTCAGTGAAGGTGTTATTTTACAGCATTCCATGGGATGTAATGTTTCTACTATTCTGGTGTGGCTTCTTGGCAACTGCCCTTGTATAGGGCAACAGAGGATCTGTGTGGTTAGCCCCATGGTATCAGGTCATGAAAAAAATATCTCTAAAATACCGTCATGTTTTCGTTATGCTCAAGGTAATGGAGGGTGAGGGGCTCACTGTTGTTGGCTAACTGCTTTCTCACTTGGCCAAATTGGAAGGCCCAGGATAAGTTTGGGGGCAGGGGTGGGGATTGGGGGTAAGCAGAGATCTGACAAAAGACAAAGACTGACAGATGGTTGTGAAATGGTTTCTAATAAAGGGGAAATGGGGATGGTTTAAAATGTAACTTTAAAATGATGCCTATAGGGGCAATGGTGACTCCGGACTTGAGGACGAAGAGGCAAAAGTAAAGTGCAGCAAATATGAGGACTCCTAAGGAGATAAATAGCTGCGGTGGCTCAAGTGGTTAAGACACTGAACTGCAGGCTGTGGAAGGTCAGTAGTTCAGCAGTTCGAGACCCGGGGGCTGCATGACGGAGGGAGCTCCCGTCTCTAGTTCCAGCTCCTGCCAACCTAGCAGTTCGAAAGCAAGACATTGCAAGTAGATAAACAGGTACCACTTTGGTGGGAAGGTAACAGCGTTCCGTGCGCCTTGGTGTTTAGTCATGCCGGCCACATGACCACGGAAACGTCTTCGGACAGTGCTGGCTCCTCGGCTTTGAAACGGAGATGAGCACCGCAACCCTAGAGTCGGATTCGACTGGCTTTCGAGCAAGGGAACCTTTACCTTTACCTTTTAAGGAGATAAATGTGCTGTGGTATGCCACATGAGGAACACCTTGCTGCTTATTTTGGGAAGCATATTGTGGAGTGGAAGAACTAGGGGTGCAATTCAGTCCTTGGGGGTGGAGAAGACAAGCTGGGTGTGTGTGTGTTTGTGGGTGTGGGGGGAGAGGCAGCTCTTAAGGTTGAGGGCATGGACCTTCTCCATGAGAAAATTCAAGCCATCAGTGTAGGTGGCTGTTAACTCTTCCCCTGCAACTGACTAGCAATTTTTCTTCAGTTGGCAAATTGCATTTGCTGGAATCTTAATAAGTTTACCTTTAAAATATCTATTAACTGCTGATAATCCCCAAACTATTATTTGAGCTGCTGCAACTGACTTCATGGCTGAAGGTGCACAAATAGCTATGTAGAATCAATGTAATATGGACACCATGCACACATCCCAATGTTTCCCTCATTTCTGCAGGTGATGTTCAAATTCCCTCAATGTGTTTGTTTTGGAAACCAAAAAAAACCTTACCCTACAGGTGTTTATGTTTCCAGATGGTTCAGTGGTACTGAGCAAATAACCTGCCACTGGTCTGAACGTTTGGACAAGTATTATGTCCTATAGTTCTACCTGCCTCTGTTAGTAACCTGCTCCTGGCTGCAGGTTTTGTGTTTGTGTGTGTGTGTGTGTGTGTGTGTGTGTGCGCGCGCGCTTCTGATTTAGTTTCCATTAGTGCTTAAGAGGTTATGACCACTTAGCCTTATTGTCCTGGGATTTTTTCCTGTGTTACCAATAGTGCTGAGCTATTATTAAATCCAGGGTCATTTTCCGTTTCAGTTTCTTTACCCGATTCCAAAGCAGGAAGAAAAATCTACTGGAACATTAGTTTGAGTAAGCCTGTATCGTCTTGAAACTCCTTATAAATGTGCTAATTTCATTTTTAAAATTAGGGAGACAGTCACAGGGCAACGTTTCTGCAAAGTGGGGAGAAGTGAACCATCCTGGCAATATTTTGTAGGTCTGTAGCCTAATGCTTGCTAGCTTCTCCCACCCTGAACTCTCTTTTAACAGAAACGGCTGCTGGCTTCTGTATTTGGGAAGGGAGTGTAGCCACCACCACCCCCGCTTCTCTTTTCAGTAGCCTTTGGTGTATCCTGAAACCAGCTTTGCGCAGAGCACCGTGTAATCCAGTTAAATCTGTAACACATCTTGCATTCCATTGTAACATCCTACAAGCTTCGGGAGGGGGGAGGGGTGTCCTTCCATCAGGCCCCGCCCTGAAACATATTTTTATCCCTTTCTCCCATTTCCCCCCCCCCTCCCAAACATCTCTCCTGATGAAAAGTTCTCAGGCGCTCAAAAAGCTTGCACACTATTTTGTGATCATCTGTTTGGTCTGAATAAAATATCCCACAGCATTTGTTTTGGGGGGATTTTTTTTACTGCATTCTCTGATGCTTGGAAGTATGTTTCATTAACTTCAGTAAGGTTGACATGGTAGGCAATGTGTTCAGGACAAAAGTGTGCAGAGAAAAAAAAAGTCCTCTCAAACTTTGAACGGAGGGAATTGCTTAGGAGAAAATCAAACGGGTGTGTGTGTGTGTGTGTGTGTGAGTGTGCAGCGAACGGCCAGGAGAATTTTCATCCTGACCTGAGTCCTCACTTTACTTTTTCTTTGCACACACCATTGCTGTGTTTTTAATACAGTCCGGCTAGTAACCATGGAAACCATTTTTGTCTCTTCCTCCCCTCCGCCGTTCCCCTCCACAGATGACTCTGGTGATGAGGAACCAGCCTCACAGTCTGACAAGAGTGAACTGCACAGCACTCTGAAAAACCTCTCGAGTAAGCTGGAGGATCTCAGCACTTGCAACGACCTCATTGCGAAGCACGGGGCAGCTCTCCAGAGGTCCCTGAGTGAGCTGGAAAACCTGAAGCTGCCTGCTGAAAGCGGGGAGAAGATCAAAGCCGTCAATGAGCGAGCCACTCTCTTCAGGATCACCTCCAATGCTATGATCAATGTAAGTGGGGCACAGCTGCTCGCAGTGGGTGCTGGTGGTGGTCACACGGATCATCTCCCTGACCAGACTGGGTGTTAATGCTGCAGCCAGTTAGTCGCCACATTGGGGTGAGTGTGCAAGGAAGTATGTGCACGCTCAGATATTTTTTGTTCCAGCCGGGAGGGGTGTATGTTCTGTGCTGGTATTTCATTTCAAGCTTGCATGGTCTTATGGATGAAATGCTTCGGACTTTGCTGTTTGATGGATCAGGATTCAAATCCAGGAGTTTAGGTCTGTCCCCTCCCGGTGTTGCCTGAGTTTGAATTCTTGGGTTCAGATCTTCCCCAGTGTTCTTACCGAGTTGCGTTGGACAAGCACTAAATTATGAGTTAAGTTTAGCTGTGGAACGGGAATAGTAATAGTGCGCCCCACAGAGCTGCTGCTGTTATTGTTGATTTGCAGTAGCTAAAATTGACTGTAGTTGCTGCAAGGATGAATGAGCGAGTAGCTGTAGAGCATACTGTGAGTTAGAAATTGGAGCAGGCTGATGAAAAAAGAGTAGCCGAATGGGTATGAATTTTTAAAGGGCTTCCAAACAAAGCATTATTTCTTTGAGAGCCATCTGTCAGCGCCTCCCCTTTAATTCTGAGCTCACCCTTTCCACCAAAGGGCTCTCAGTGCCTGTTGCTGCTACGTAAGCATCCCAATCCCCAAGGCTAGATCTGTAAGTTTGTGAGGAGCTGCTAGCCTCAAAACTGGTAGCCCAAGCAGAGCTTCCCAACTCCCTGCACCACTCAGACTGCTGACCAGAAGGAGAACTTGGCACAGTTCAAGCCAAGATACTAGCACAGACCAGAATCTTTCTTGCTGTGGGAATCAGGTGTTTCCAGGGTACTGGTCCCATGCTGGTGATATCAAGATCCCAGCTCTGCTGTACCCCCTCACTCTGGGCATCTCCATCACAGAGGGAAGCCACCAGTTTGTCTGCACACCTGCCTGCTGCCTTTGTCCCAGTTCCCACATACCTGTTGCCTCTCCACTGTGGCAGGCTAGGGTTGGATCTTGCTTGCACCTGGACCTGGGCACCTGCCAGCCTCCTTAAATTTGCTTCCCATCTGTCTTCTTCCTCGTGCTATGTCTCTGGCCTCCTCCAGTGTTCTCATTATCCTCTTCCTCACAGCTTCCTTCGGTGCTTTCTCACAAACCAAGACTGTATTCAAAAGGCTTTTGCTTCACTGAGCTCAGGAGCTGTGAGAGGGTGCATGGAGTTCAGCTGGAATGTGTGCATTCTCTTCACATCGCAGGGAACAAGGCAAAAAGAATACCTGCTCTTGAAAGGCATACCACAGACTTGAGAAGACAGCCTGTGGTTCGAATGTTCCTTTGTTACCACCATGACAGATATTAAGGCAAGCCAGATCTTTAGAAACCACTGAAAGGGTAGATATCTCAGTGCCTGTGTTTTCTAGGTATTGGAACAACTGACTTCAGTGGTTGTATTGCATCACGGCACAGAGGTCAGACTTCACCAGACTGTCCCACCTGCAGGTCTTTTTTGCAGCCTCAGTTAGACGGTTTGTTGTATTTTTTCAGTGATACTTGTGTCCTTCTGTTATAAAATCCTTTGTATTTCTGTGCTTTTATACTATAACATCAGCTGAACCTTATCAGATCAATTGTTTAGAGTTGATTGTGCCTTGAAAATACCGAAGTCTGACTGGTTAATTATGTTAATTTGGCCTTTGGTAATGATGGTTGTGCAAGTATTTTTGTTGCGGCTTGGAGGCCATGCAGAAAGTGGATCCAGTACTTGAGGTGTCAGAAGCACCTCCTTGTCCTTTTTCCTGTGGATAGATTCGGAGTGATCTCACTGATGGATGCCAGCAGGATCTTTGGGGATGTGAGAGCCACCACTTGTGCTTTTGGCACTTGTCTTGGCACTTAAAATCATGCCAGGAAAAGATATTGGAACCTCATTAACATCTCGCTGACCAGGGGGTTTGCTCTAAGCCTCTGAAAGAGGCCGTTATCAGACTATTGTATAAGAAACCCTTGTTGGCTAAGGTTGATGAGGCCAGTTATAGGCAGGCAGGTTTCCAGTTTACCCTTCTTGGGGTGGGCAATGGGGTGTGCAGTAGTGAAACAGCTCCAAGGGTTGCTGAAATGCCATATCTGTGCCTGACCTGTTGGAATAGAGACATTTTTGGTTGCACTGGTGAATGATTTACATTAAAGCAGGTCAGGGGACGGTCATCCCTGTTGATACTGTTAGATTTATTGGTGGCCTTTGATACAAATTGACCCTTCAATTTTTATTCATCGGTTGGAACATGTAATTGGTATTGGAGGAGTAGCTATTCAGTAGTTTGGGGTCTTTTTTGTCTGATCAGATACAGAGAGTATCCTCTGGAGGGGCAGAGTCAGTGCTTTGGAACCTGTCTTGTGAAGAGCCTCCAAGGTTCGTTTTATCACCTGTGCTGTTCTCTGTTTATTTGAGGTCACTGAATGAGATCATCTGGAATTGTAGGGTTTGGTGTTATCAATATGCAGATGACATGCAGTTCTATATTTCAGAGTAATGTATAATACATAATTGTCATATATAATGTATAACAATATATTATATATAACAGTGCAGAGTTACTCTGCTCTACTGAAAGTAATAGACAGGAGTAGCCCTGCATAGAATTGCACCATTAACCTTCATGTATGTCTGTCTCTTTCTGAACTGATGCTTTGAGGCCTATTTTAAAACAGCTACATTGATTGCCGATTTGATTCTGAGTTTATTTTAGGATGTTGGGCTATAGCATTTAAAGCTCTTCACAGATTGCGCTCACCTGTCTGTGTACATGCCGATATGCCGCTTATGGCTGCGCTCACCTGTCTGAAGGACCTTTTCTCTGTGTACATGCCGATATGCCGCTTATGGTCCTCTGGGTGACACCCCTTGATTACCCCTCTGCTGAAGTTTGCCCACTGAAGGTCTACCACAGCCCATTCCTTCTCAGTAGTGACTTCTCCTTAACGGAATTGGCTTTTTGAGATGTGGGGGGGAACGACGACGACAATCCTTGGAGGCTTTTAGAGGGCATTGCAAAGCTATTTTATTTGCTTGAGCATTTAATAAGGTTTGAACAATGGCCCTTTTCTGGTGTTTTACAGATTGAATCATGTTGTTCTTTTAGTTATGAATAAAAGGCAGCATTACCTGGAAAGGTTAAGGCAGGCTATAAACATTTGTCGCCGCCATGCTTGCTGTTGATAACCCACAGCTCCAATTGTGGGCTATCTCAATAATCCCAGTTGAGTTGCTTTTGGCTTCATAGCAATCTTGAGGGTGAAAGACTAAACAGCCATTGTAATAACCCAAACAGAATGCATCGTGTTTCTGAATATGGAGTACACACAGTCTCTCCCCCACCCACCCCAATTCTGACTCGCTATCCTTGGAGTCCCACTTCCTGTGCATGACTAATACAGAGTTCAGCCAGTTTACAGAAGCTCCAGCAGATGCAGAGCTGACTAATTTTATGAATGGAGACCCCTCCCCTTGCAGAAAAAAGCACCTGCTTCTTCTGTTGTCAGTACCAGAGTAGGCTTCTCTTTGTTTCCTGCTTTCACCATTGTGGGATCTTCACCCATAAACCTTACACAAACATGCCCAGTTACACACACTATATATATCCCCCAAATCCTTAATATACCGTGCTGGGACAACAAAGAATTATTTTTCCTGGAATAGAATAGTGATGGAAATGAGATCATAATCTTGTGTTTCTGCATGCCATTGAAATTAAGGTCTAAATAAGGAAAAGAGTAAGCCCTGCAGGGCTACACGAGTGAGGAAGAAACAGGCAGGAGGTGCAGAGATGGAAGTGGCAATCTGGTGTGGAGGTGGTGTAGGAGGTGCATCCCAATACAGAGGAACTAATTAAAAGGGTAAATAGAAGGGTTGCACAGAATATTCCGACAAACAGCGGAAAAGTCCCTATAGATGATTCAGTAGAGAGAAGGTTAAAGGAGACATCACAAGAATGCACATCCTGGAGTTAAAAAGGCCTTTCAGAATGCTTTAGTACCCCTGCAGCTGTTCATATTTTTCTGTCCCTTAGCCAGGCTCCAAAACCAGATGTAAGCCTGCAGGGGGCGGGAGCAGCAGAGAATCAATGGGAACCGGAGGGTTTAAAGTACTTCCCTTCTTCCTGTCCTCCCCTCTAAGCCTTCATTCCATTCTGGTTCTCTGTTTACAGTTTTGAAATAAACATATGCCAAAATAAATTCCAAGGTCTGGCATTACAGAATCCTTGGAATGGGTCCAATAGAGGATCTGGGCAATTTCTCAGTGAAGATCTGCGGTGAAGCAAGGACTCCCACCTTGCCAAGTAGCTCCCTAGCAAACAGGAACTAGGTGCATACACAGTACACCAGCAGAACCCAGCACCTTGGACAGATCCCCGGGGCTGACATTTTTAAGGCTGAGATTTGGAGCCAGTAGGACTGCAGTTTTATCCCTCAGACTCTGCCTCTGACCCCTCCTGCAGAGCCAGGTGCCTTCAAAGGACTTGCGGTCTAGCACTTTGATGGCCTCCAGGAACTTTTACCAGATGCTTTGTCTGTCAGCATGACGACATCCTAGGTGATGCAGGTGCTAGCTCCCCAAAGAAGCGCGGGGTGCCTAGTTTCATGGAGGTTGCCTCCCAAGTGCTGATATCTCTGACTCAAAAGTCACTGTGTCAGGAGTCTCACCTTTTGTGTGGTTCAAGCTGTTGAGGTATCTGCTTCTCATCATCAGTGTCTGTGCTGTTCATGGTCTGGATTATGACAGATAATATGCAATTCTGCCCTTCACTGCCAATCAGTGATGAAGACCAGCCATCGCTCCAGGAAGATGGTCTGGTCTGAAAGAAGGGCCAGGCTCTGTCTCCATCTTGATGGCTGTACAGTAATGGACATGAAGGTCTAAAGATACATGAGCGTATGAAACTGCCTTACATTGAGTCAGATCCTTGGTCTATCAA